CTTAACTACATCAGCCGATTCATAGCACAGTCTACAGTTATCTATGAGCCAATCTTTAAGATGCTAAAGAAGGACGCCGCCACCAAATGGACCAATGACTGCCAAAAGGCCTTCGACAAAATCAAGGAGTACCTATCAACACCACCAGTCTTAGTCCCGCCCGAGCCAGGTAGACCCTTATTACTCTACCTTGCAGTGTTAGATGGAGCTTTCAGCTGCGTTCTGGGGCAGCACGATGAAATAGGGAGGAAGGATCAAGCCATTTATTATCTCAGTAAGAAGTTCACCCCGTACGAGGCCCGGTATTTTCTATTCGAACGCACCTGTTGTGCTTTGACTTGGGTAGCTCAGAAGCTAAGACATTACTTCTGCGCCTATACTACATATCTCATATTGAGAATGGATCCCTTGAAGTACATCTTTTAGAAGCCCATGCCCACCGGCAAGCTAGCCAAGTGGAAAATCCTGTTGAGTGAGTTCGACATTGTTTACGTAACTCAGAAAGCGATCAAGGGACAGGCACTAGAAGACCACCTTGCTGAAAACCCCGTGGATGGAGGATACGAACCCCTGAAAATGTATTTTCCTGATGAAGAGCTATCATTCATAGGAGAAGACATTGCGAAATCCTATGACGGTTGGAGAATGTTCTTCGATGGAGCAGCAAACTTCAAAGGAGTTGGCATATGAGCAGTCCTAATATCAAAAACCGATCAGCATTATCCGGTGTCTGCCAAACTCAGGTTCCCTTGCACTAACAATATGGTCGGGTATGAAGCCTGCATCTTAGGACTCAAAATGGACATTGACATGAACGTTCAAGAGCTGCTAGTGATTGGAGATTCAGACTTACTTATACATCAGATACGAGGAGAATGTGCAACCAAGAACTCCAAGATACTCTCGTATCTGCATCAAGTATAGGAATTGAGAAAGAGGTTCACAAAGACAGAATTTCAGCATGTTCCCATAATCCAGAATGAGTTCGCTGATGCATTGGCTACCCTATCATCTATGATACAGCACCCCGACAAGAATTTCATTGATCCTATTCTGGTGAAAATCCACAATCAACCAGCTTATTGTGTCCATGTTGAAGAGGAAGCAGACGGAAAGCATTGGTTTTATGATATCAAGGAATATTTGGCAAAATGAGAGTACCCGGAGCTTGCAAATCCTACTCAGAAACACACACTTCGGAGATTGTCCAATAACTTCTTTCACAGCGGAGGAATCCTGTATAGGAGGACTCCCGATTTAGGATAATTAAGATGTGTCAATGCAAAGGAAGCATCCAGGCCACTAGAGGAAATTCATGCTGGGACCTGAGGTCCACATATGAACGGTTTTGTCTTAGAAAAGAAGTACTTCGGGCTGGTTACTTTTGGATAACTATGGAAATGGACTGCATCCAGTATGTCCGAAAATGCCACGCTGTCAGATACATGCAGACATGATAAAGGTACCTCCAAGCGAGCTTAACGCAACAAGCCCATTGTGGTTGTTCGCCGCCTGGGGAATGGACGTTATTGGACCAATCGAGCCTGCTGCTTCCAACGGACATAGGTTTATCCTAGTAGCCATCGACTATTTCACCAAATGGGTCGAAGCAACATCTTACAAAGCAGTAACTAAGAAAGTCGTGGCAGACTTTGTCTGCGACCGCATTGTCTGTCGATTCGGAATTCCAGAGTCAATCATTATTGATAATGGCTCCAACCTCAACAACGACTTGATGAAAGCTATGTGCAAAACTTTCAAGGTCAAACACAAGAATTCCACAACCTACAGACCTCAGATGAATGGAGCAGTAGAAGCCGCCAACAAGAATATCAAGAAGATATTGAGGAAAATGATAAAGAATCACAAACAGTGGCACGAGAGGTTATCATTTGCTCTACTGGGGTATGGCACCACAATCCGCATATCAACCGGGGCAACCCCCTATATGCTGGTTTACGGTACAGAGGTTGTCATTCCCGCTGAGGTAGAAATTCCTTCCCTAAGGACCATTCAAGAAGCTGAGCTCGACGACGCAGAGTGGGTAAAAAGTCATTATGAGCAACTAGACCTTATAGACGGAAAGAGAATGAATGCAGTCAATCGCGGTCAATTCTACCAGAACAGAATGTCCAGAGCCTTCAACAAAAGAGTCAAGCCAAGACAGTTCACACCAGAGCAGCTGGTGTTAAAGAAAATTTTTCCGCATCAAGATGAAGCCAAAGGGAAGTTCTCTCCCAACTGGCAGGGTCCATACATGATTCACCGGGTTTTGACAGGAGGAGCCCTCATACTTGCAGAAATGGACGGAGAAGTCTGGTCAAAGCCGATCAATTCAGATGTAGTCAAGCGTTACTATGTGTAATCTTTATGCTTTCCTTATATGATGTAAATTGAACTACGCCTGACCTGATTCCCGTTTAAGAGGGGATACGTAGGCAGCCCTATGGGTTAGGTCACAATTCAAATAAAATTTCATTTCCCCCGCAATTGGAAACTGCGACAGAATTTTGAGGAGGACCCTCAAAATTCTGAAGTAATTTCAGCCGATCGTCACACGAGCAACAGTCAGAAACGTCAACCCATCAATCTGGGGCAAAATTTTGGGGACCCTCAAAATTCCGTAGCAGGGGATGTTGCAATGTCCTGAACTACGTCACAATCGTTGGTTCATCTAAAAGCTATTTTTAATTTATGTCATACTTTTACAAAATCATGCATGTTATTATTGAAACTGTTTTGTTTAGCAACGCTACCCCAATAATACAGACAACATCATCAAATCAAAGCCGAACGAGTCAAGCAAAAGCCAGCGGGGATACAAACTAACCTTCCCCCTTACAAAACTCACGATTTTTCTTTGGATGCATGCACTAGGATTGTGAAATCATTAGACATATTATACGCCCACGGGAAAAACATTGTTCGAAGTACGATTCTCATAACCGGACAAACATTGTTCAAAGTACGATTCTCAGAACCGTTGCACTTACCAACATTTGCTATCAGCACACACCAGTCACTATTAGAAATTACACCTATGGGAGCCTTCTAAAATTGTGGCAATAGATACAATAATCGTTCCTGTAGAGCTAATGGGACGGATTGGGATGCGTTCCGGGATTTAGTGTTACCATAGGTCAATTGGAACAGTTATTAGTAACGGTTTCAAAACCGTCTCCATATAAGGATATTGTAATGGTTATGGAAGTGATGTCATTGCTCCATCTATGGGAACGGTTTTATGTTCTGTTGGAACGACTATAAACTGTTGTGGTATAATTATACGAGCAATTTTTAGGCCTATTGCAACAATTTTAATGATATATTGTAACGGTTTTTGTGATATACTGGAACAATTATCAATATCCTATTGCAACAGATATTGCAATATATTGCATCGGTTATTAGAAGTTGTTATTGTTTGATAGTTCTATTGGAACAGTTATATTCTCTATTGCAAAAATTCAAAGTTGTAATTTCTGATATTTATGAAAATAAAATGAGGAATATTTTCCTATGCAATGAAATTTTATACACCATAACTTATATAAACCATAAAATAAAATATAAATATCCAACTAGCATTATCCATATGCCAAAACAAAATATGAATACATTGTCTGATCAACAATTCAAAAGTCAAAATAGATGTGTTTGCATCCAAAAAATTCAAAACTAAAATATCATTGAAAATGATAATAGAAAGTCTAACAACTATCAACAACAGTCAAGGTTGCTTTCATCCGCAATCGCTGCACCTACAAAAGACAATCAGAAAAAATTAAATAGATTTTATTTAGATAATTGAATCACAAAGTAATTGAATAATCAATTTGATAACTCGAAAAAAATTTCCAACTCTCCAAATTCTTAAAATTTTCGGCAACAATCAAAAGAAACTCTTCGTCATCACAAAAAAACTCTGTAACATAGAAGAAGCCAGCAATCAAGTAAGACCATAAATTAAAAACAATGAACAACCAGCAAACTCTTCTACATCACATGGCATTCAACCAACTAATATGGAACTTACTCTGAAGAGGCACGGTATGCTAAAATGTGCTCCAACAATATGATGATTGATCTATGGCCTTGAAAACTAGCTAGTATGGAAGACAAAACTGCCACCCAAAGTTTGTTGCTTCAGCTGGTTGGCCTTAAAGGATGCATGTCTCACCCAAGACCTCACCAGAAGAAACTTTCAACTGGCCAAAGGTTTGGTTAAATTGTTTCACTGGGCTAACCTTAAATTGTTTGGTGTCCTACATGAAGATTATGTGATCTTGTTGTTTTTGGTGTTGCAATTTCCACTTATGGGCAATTTGTGATGAATTTCCCAAAGAGAACTTACAAATCCCCCTTATTCAACAAAAAATGAACTGACTAAATCCCCTTTATTCAACAAAAACGAACTGATTTCCACCAAACTTTCATAGCAACTCCATACATATGTAAAACTATAAGCAAATTCACGGAACCAACCAATTCACACTTTCTTATAAAACCAAAAACTGCAAAAAAATAGAAGAAAAAATATTCTAAGGAAGACATGAACTCTTAATCAATCTTAAGAGAGTCAATTTTGGGATGGCATTGTAAAATTCCAATTCCCACAATAAACAATTCTGTCAAGAATAAGTCGGTTGACTTCCAACATCTAATTAAACAAAGAGCCCTCTCATATGCGACCCTACTCATGTGTGAAAATACACAAGCCAAAAGCAGTAAACAAAGTACTTCAATACAACCAAATCAAATCCAAATTTTAAATTGCATCATCATTCCAACATTTAGACAATAACAACAACGGCTCAATTGTAAACTATTTGGTTGGCTATATGAATTCTCCATGTCCCTTCCACTCCATTTGGACTTCACATTACTCGCAACTGCTTACAAGTAGAACTTGAGAAGTATATAGTAAACATAGTAGAACTTGAGAAGTATCTTATTTAATCCTTATTTTATTTCCTCAGGGCACTTCTACACTAGGACAATTTTGAAAGATATCAAATTTTATATATAACATACATTAGCTTAGTGATGGAATGGGAAATAGAAGCAATACATGGTATGTTGCTTAAGAATAGATTACAAATAGTAAAAGAAATGATAAAATTAGAAATAGTATTCCAGAAAAGGTTCTACTAGAGTTTGGACAATAATCTAAAGAATGTTTTGACAAGAAGCTATTTTTTAGCTTATGAAACTGAGCATTTGCAATGCATTCAAGAATCACTACATCAAGGGCATCTATTATGGTCATTATAGTGAATAGCAAACAGATTGTTACCCAATAATCCAAACTTTTGCAAATTCATAGTGTCGAATATGATATATAGTAAAAGCAAGAGAAAATGTTACAGTAAAAAGAAAATAGACATCCAAAACAATGACAAAAATACAGTAGTTATAGAACAAAACACTATAATCCAATTTTGCTCCTCTTATTGAGAAGGGGATATACTTAAGACAACTAATCTTATGTTCTGTTGGGATTACAAATATTGGAACTCCACCCTTCCTCCACTCTTCCAACTCCCGAGCAACAAATCCAAAAATGTATTGAAAAAATCAAGAAACACTTTGCAAAAATAAATATCAATTTGTCTGCTACCTGCCTTTTAATCTATCCAAAAGACATCAAAGATAAAACATTGTATCACTTTTTATATACTAAACATTATTTAGCAAGTATAAAAAACTGTTGTGTATATATCATGGAGTATATGCAATAATGACGACAAAAAAAAAAAACAGCAGTGAAGCAGAAACAGAAAAGGGGAAAAACAGCAACGGCTAAAAAGAACTGGAGGAAACATCTCTAGGAAGAAAAGGACATACCTGGAGTTTTTCAGAGTTCCAATATTTAAAAAGTTCCTTAAACTGAGAAGCTGGTATATCTTCAGGAAAATAAACTAATATCATAATCCACCAACTAAACTTTCAATTTTACAAACTTGGGGTCACAAAATATATCATACTATACTAAAACATCCGAATGAATGAAACTTAAATGAACAGAACAAATTTATTTCTTGTTTTCTTTTCAATAGGAAGGCAAGATTAGCTGCAAGAATATTTTTCTCCTGAATGGTTATTCCAAGAATGACAGTAATATCTTGGTCAAGAATTATTAATGCTTCTCCGAAAACTAACTTAACTCTCAGCCACTCATTTTAGCCTTTGTGGCTGAATATGTCAACTTTTGTGTATTATTTCCATAAACCAGGATAAACTACTTGTGCCTCTATCTCTTGCTTTCTCATTTTATACGCGCGCAACTTCTTTTGTGTCAGGTTTTCAATAAGAAACTTAGGCAAGGAGAGAAGTATTGAGCATGGAAAATATTCTCAATGGCCATGAACCAGCGTCAAGAGAGATCATATTTACCAAACGCGATCACCTTTGTGAAAATTACTATGCTGGACATGCTCCGAGGGGTTATCAACAAGAATTTGAAACATACAGAATGGACGTATGCGGAACCTCAAATGATCTGGGTTAAAGTTTTTCTAAACAATACTACAAATGCCAAAAAGTCTATCACTAGACACAAATATATTTTAACAACATTGAGATAAATTTGTGATTTTTCAGCAATATTACCGGAGAAAAAAAAAAGAAGCATCGAAGTGACTTTTCAGAATAACGAACAAGCAAGCGAACATCGAACATCAAATAGATATCACAATGGGTTAATCATGGTTTTCTAATACGAAATCAAATCCACCAGCTAAATCCCCAAATTTGAAAACTAGAAATCACAAAATGAATACAACGAGCATCGAACATCGATAGCAAACATCAATCAAGTGAAATCGTTCTAACACGAAATAAAAATCCACCAACTAAACCAATAATTTTAAAAATTGGAAATCACAAAAATTATTATATAATACAGACAAAGAACATAAGCAAAATAATGGGTGCATGAGAAATATTACCAGAGAAAGAAAATCGGTGAAGTAGCCAAACAAATTTTCAGCAAAACATCGAAATTCCATACAAACACCGAACAGGGAGAAAACACTGACAGCCAACATCGGATTTCGCCTTACATTAGCCGAAGTGGACGTCCTTCGCCGGAATCGGTCTTCCTTCGCCTGAACAGGACATAGATTTTGGTCGATTTTGGATTCTAGGTTAAACCTTAAGAGGCGTGGGTTCTTAGTGAGAGACGGAAGATTTCATATGATGTGTGTCTTCTAATGTAAAAGGTAAATATTTAATAAAAAACAGCTATTAAAATGCTGATGGGTCCTACATTTTGTATTTGTTTCAATAAATATTTAGGAGGGAAATAAAGGAGGGAAAAATGAAGCGTCCCAATACACTTTTATTTTACCAATCAGTTCCCACAAATAACCCTACTGTATCGCCTTTACAAACTGTCTCTATAGCTTTACCTATGATGACGGTTATTATACTATTAGAACGGTTTTGCTTCTAAAGTGTCCCAAAAGTTTTTTATCTCTACTGGGACGATAAAAACCGTTCCAAAATCTGATCTATTGTAACAGTTACATAACCGTTACAGAATAACTGTTCCAATAGGACCATTTTCTAGCAGTGAGTGATGTTCCGTATATCACAATGTTCCCAGTGATCACAACGCCGCAATCTGCTATCAGCTAAGAAAATTCTACTGTCATTTGTTATCGTATTTCTTGTATAAGGCTACTATTCTGCCTTCCAATTTGCATAAGGCTGCCATTCTGCCTTTCAAGGTTAAGCTCTACCTCCATGTGCATCTGCATTGCATAAGGCTACCATTCTGTCTTCCGAGACTAAACACTGTCTCCATCTGTATTTGCATTGCATAAGGCTACTATTCTGCCTTCCAATCTGCATAAGGCTATCATTCTGCTTTCTGAGGTTAAGCTCTACCTCCACCTACATTCGCATCTTTGCATAAGGCTACTTTTCTGCCTTTCGAGGCTAAGCTCGGCCTCCAATTTTCTTCGAAACTAAGCACTATCCCAAGCACTATTTATCTCGCTTATCTTATGGGCTAAGCTCTGCCCTTCAATTCGCAAGACTGAGATCTGTCTTGTCCGCATCATACTACTGCATCCTTCACGGGCTGAAATATCGCCAACTCATCCAAAGGCGTCATGGTTCAGAGGCACCATCCTCATAGCCCGAGAACATCATTTCATGGCCTGCGAATCCTTTATCATACGCTTCATGGCCCAGGACATCATGGTCTTAGGACGTCATTCCTAACCGTTTAAAGACAACATTCATGGTCCAACGAGAATTTGCATCATGTTTAAATTTATGCACATTATACGCTTGTATTGCTTCCATTTACAGGTAAGCCGGCGAGCAACGGCTATCCCAGCAGGAACGATCCCGCTCCAGTTCCCTCAACCATATCAAACCTAACCATTCCCGTAAACCGCTCACTCACCTAGCCCTATATATTGCACGTTCTCAAAATGGCTTCATCGGTATACTCCGCCGATGGATCCTGAACTACATACTGCCTGATTCCTGTAAAACCAGGGATATGTAGGCAACTCAGAAACTAGGGTGCAGCCTAAATCTCTTCAAACCATTTCGCTCGGTCAAAATTGGCCATCATATCTTTACCCGACAACTCTTTCATCCTTCCCGAGTAAAGAGGGGCAGCTGTTGATACCCAATTTTTCCTCAAACTATTAAATTTGCATTAATACCCTCAAAATCACTTTTATAATAATTGATATTTTTTCATAATTTTCCATATTATTATCAATTTATTTTCTAATTTATTCATTATTTTATATCCAATAATTATTCATATATTATATTGCAAGTAATTTCAAAGTATTTCTTAACTCAACATATCATTTTTAATCCTATTATGATTTAATTATTTCACAAATTAGCCAATTTGGCATCGTTTGGCTATAGTTACAACGATTTTGCAATTATAGCATAATTGTACACTTTATGTTATTTTAATTCAATAATCAGTCTTTTTATATTTTAATATTAGTTAATTACCTTAATTTCACCTATTTAACTTTAGTTTTATTTTATCTAATTATTAGCTATTTTTATTAATTATTTATCTAATTTTAATTGGGTATTTAACAACTAGCCACCCTTATTTAAATTATAACCAGCACCAAACCCAATTGAACCAACCCAAACCCCAGGCCCAATCTGTCAAAATCCCCGACGCAATCCCTAAGTCCTTAACCCAACCCACCTACCCCATTCTATCCTAACCGTTGATCATTCAGATCAACGGTCCCCATTCCCCTTTCCTTAATTAAACCTAGACCTAACCCCCCNTCTCAAATCCTAAGCCTAACCCTAATCATTGTCCACCCTTCTCCGACCATTTCCCTCGCCGGAAACCATGGCCTCTCGTCATCTCCTGGCCTCTGCTTCACCCCATGCCGGTTTGACACTACCCTGAGGTCCTCAGGTGAACCTGGAGCGTTCAACTCCTATCCATGGTCTTTCATGCCATTTCTCGGCCATCCATGGCTATTCGAGTAAGATCTATGACTTTTCCGGCTAAAACCGGTAATATTTTAAGGTCCTCTCATCTTCTCTAGGTTCTCTAAAACCCTAACTCTTGAGATTTTTCACTTTTCTATAGATTTGTCTTAGATCTAGGTATATCCATGAGTTCTTAACCGATTTTTCTTCATCTCTACTATTTCCCGAAAAACCCTAGATTCGCTATTGTTCGATTCTTCTCAGATCTTTCTAGATCTGAGGTGATTCGAGTATTATTAAGCGTTTTCCTCTAAAAAACCCCGGTTTTAACTAACTATTTCGAATTTTTTAAACTAGAGTTCATCCCAAGTTGTTTTTCAAGGTTTTTTTTTTACTTCTAAGTGTTTGATTAATTACCCTTTCGCCTTCGTGACTGATTTGTGCAAGAATATGAAACCCTAGTTGATTCTATGTGATTCCTTCAATCTTTGCTTCGATTTTTTGTATTTTTGTGGTACCAGTCATCTTAGTTTGCTCTATCTTTGGACTTAAACATTTTTCCTTGTTAAATCCAGTATTTTTGTGGTTTTGCCCTAATTAATCTTTATTAGGGTTCGAATCTATTTCTCCGGCTAATTTCTTTATCTTTGTGAGGTTTTACTTAGGCTAATTTTTGTTTATGGAAGTTGAGTATTTCTTTCTGGAAATCAGTGATATTTTAAAAGTTTTGGCTGGTTGATTCACTCTGTTAGAGGTCCATATGCGTAAATCTTAGGTGTTTCCTTGTTTATGACTGTAATTGGTCATACTGACCTTATTTGATTGCCCGTATAATTGTGGATTCTTACTGATTCCTTTGCATGGTATGATTGGGATTCTTTCCTTAATTAGACCCTTGTTGTTACCGTTAATCAATTACCCCTAATTAAGGGGGTCTATTCCGAACCCCTTTTAGGTGATTTGATTTTGTGATTCTGTGATTGTCCCTAATTGACTGGCTTCTAATTCTTTTACCTTATTGGTTCTACTCCTAAAGTGCTATATATACACTTTTGTTTTACCTTTTAACACACAAACAATAGTTCAGAATATACACACACACTCAAACTCTCTATTCTTTCTATGCTAGTTGTGCTAACTACTTCTCTAGCCGGCTGAAAGCCAAGGCTAGACTGTATAACTCTACTTGCTTTACTTTTCTGCACTTTACTTCCTCAACTGGTATGTTCCTAGTTCAATTCTGAAACTCAACTCTATGTGCTCCATGTCTGTTAATCCATGTCTCCTTCTGCACTAATTTAATGGCTTATGTATTTAGTTGTCCTTCTTGTTTATTGCTTTATTCAGCATGTCTACTTGAGTTCTTGTTTATTTTCCTCAACTGGTATGCCATGTTAGTATCATAGAGTCCTAATGTTCTTGATTAACACTAAGTGGTGTGATTAATTATGTGTAACAAACCTCTGTCCTCAACATTGCTACTCTCATACCCTGTCCCTATGTCTTATTACTATTCTAATTTCGAGCATGACTCCCTTGTTAACACTTTGAAGTAGTAGTTTTGTAGGCCAATCCATTGCTACATGTTCTTTGTAATTGCTGGTCTATATGCTTCTCTTCTCATCCATGTTTACATATTTCTGATTTGGGCTCTCTATGTCCCCAACCCTTTACTTCCCTGCTTGTGAGTGTTGACTTCCCTGCTTGTGAGTGTTGAAATGATACTTCTTTGAATTTGTGATATGTGTGCTGGCTTGTTCCAAGTTGTAGTTGCTCTTATTCCTTTCAAAACTGTTTTCCCTAAGCAACTCTTCCGTTGTTTTTGCAAACTTATTTCAATCTAATCTTTGTCAAAGTTGTTTCCAACTCAACTCTTTTAAATCTATGTCAAGCACTCTCACATGTACTCTTAGACCACTAGGTTTTGCCCTTTTTGTGTGAGCCTTGCCTTGGGACCCTTGAGCTCCCTCTGAACTTGGACACATAAAAGCTGGCCTTTCCACACTGCACTTACTCTATCTTGGCTATGAAATCTGGGTGTGAGCACTGCCCGAGATCCCTTGAGGTACTTAGGGAACTTTGATACACCCGGATATGAGAAAGACTACGGAACAATCCTGGCACTTGAGGTGATTTATTACATAACTCAGGGAGGAAGTCCTAATCAGGCTCTCTATAGTGTACTTCTCAGTTTTCATTTCCACTTATGTAATTCATTTCAATATTAGTCTGTAATAACCTGTTGTAAATAAGTATTGGGGTGGCTAGTGAAAAAGGATGGGGTTAATATGCATGCCATAGTTGTTAAAGGTAGAAAACATGTTATTCGGTTTATATTCCTAATTGCGCAATAGAAACCATGCTCAGGATTCATACATTAGACATCATGCTATTTAGGATTTATACGTACTGTTTTCAGATTCACATCCACACTTAGAAATCCTGTTTATAGGGTAGATAATAACAATAAAATAAGCTACTATTATGTAATTCTGCCCACGTAAACATGTTCCGAAGTTTCATTTAGAAATCCCGCTCTTAGGAAATTCTGCAATCATGCTGTGCATTTAGAAATCCTGCTCTTAGGAAATTCTGCAATCATGCTGTGTATTTAGAAATCATGCTTTAGGAATCATGCATATAAATCATTGGATACCATGATTAGGTTCTCCTTCATACTCACTCAGCTACGCTTAGTTAAACTACTGATGCCTGAAAAGGAGTATCAACAATCTCATCCTGCTTTAAACAAACTGGTAATAACCCCT